TGACATTCTTCTAAGACTGCTTCGTGCCGGTGTTTGAACAGATGCAGAAAACTGTATCCCCTTTAATCACAGCCAACCCTAACTATAAATTACCCGAAGTATATTAGAATTACATCCACACCAGTAAATATAAAAAGTAATCAAATTCTTAAAAGCAAACAAAACTTTTTGCCTCTTCTTTAACTTTTTCTACTTCCATCTTTAATCCTCTTGAGGTACGTTCTGAGATGCTTAAAGCTTAAATCTTCAAAACCATTTTTCCTCAGAAGCTAATCTTCCTCATTATTTTTTAATTCAGATCATAAGCACGTTAAAAAGAAATAAATCTCTTACTTCTTCTTCTCCAAATTCTCCTTTTCACCTCTCTTCTCTTCTCTTCCCTCCTGCTTAATTCTCTCCTCCACAAGTAAAAATGTTATTCGAACACACCAGCTTAGGTCTTACAGAAACAATCAGCCTGAGCAGACTTCTGTCTTCAATAAGAAACCTGATCTTATTTTTGAAAAGAAGGGTTTTGTTATTGCCCGTGAACTCTTTTATTCTAGATTCTCCCTCACAGGCAAATCGTAAAAAGTATTTCACAGCTTCAGTTTCTACTTGTAGGGAAAATTGTTACCTGTCACTTGTCAATTAACCCAGTTGCCATTTTAGCAATACTTTTTTTTTTCTTTTTTTGAAGTAAAACATTTGCACTTTCATAGCATGTAAGTCGTCTTCCAAATTAAAAGACAAACCCATGAATTTGCAATTTCATAGCATGTAAGTCGTCTTCCAAATTAAAAGACAAACCCATGAAAACTACTTTCCCAGAAAACTTCCTAACATGCCAGGAAAGCCTCTCACTCTGAAAGCAGGCTGGCAGCAGCAGGGTTTTTTCTTCCCTCTGTAGATTGTTCTTCTCTTGTAAGACCGACACACTGCTAGAAATACCTCACACCTCTAAAATCCCAACAGATTCCTGGGGAGTTGAAAATAACTGGAAGAAAATGCATAAGTGGTATGATGTCTAATCAGAGAACAAGCAAAAACTGAAAAACTGAAAATTAAGCAGGACTGAATTTTTCAATCTACTGTGCTGAGACCTGGTACTAAACACCGCTAAAGCACTCAAATGGGATTGCAGATCTTGACCTCTAGCAAACCACCAAGACTATAATCCCCTCTGGAGCCTTTTTATTTATATCAACTTTCCAGTAATACAAACATCTGGTAGTCCTCACGTAACATTTTCCAGTTGCCATCTTGTGTTAATATTTCTAAGAGCTTATCAAAAACAACTTGAGCTGAAATACAGTTTCTGCCATTATTATTCTGGAAATTAAGCTTTCAAATAATCAATTTAGAGACTACAATGCATGGCCAAAACTAGACATCAGACTACTGGATTCTTTCACCTACTTGCAACTGCAGCATGACTTCAAAATGGTTATGAGAATTATTTTAACCTGCTGAATGTAAAGATCATATGATTGCCAAATAAAAGCACTCTTAGAATCAGCATGCAAACCCGGGTTTTTGGAAAAGCATGAAAAGAAATCAACTGCTTGCTTCATTCCAACAGAAAGCTCACTCCAGGACTTATTTCTAACAGATAATAAATAGCAATTACAAGCACTTGAAAAGACTCCTGTCTGCAGCCTATCCTACCAGGTAATGCTTCTCCAACACTTGCGGTTTTATAGGCAGGAAGAGTCCTCAATTTTCAAAGTTACTTTGTTTAGTCTTTTCTCTGACCTTATCACATCAACATGAGAAGGAATAAGGAGAGGAAGAAGATGGGAATCAAATTCCAACCAACTTCCGCTTCCAAACCATCTATATTTTCCTCAGAAATCAGCAGCCATGTTTTCTATAAAACATATCACACCAACTTCAATAAGGCATGATCGTTTTGCTAGCATAATTTTAATAGTCTTACTCACATTAACATAAAAAAAAAAATCACATCTTACCATAAATCACATTCCAAAAATAACACAATTATGGTGTTCGCCTACACCCATATTTGAATATCCTAACCATTCAAGACCAAGATTATCGAATTAATAAGACAAAGGGCAAAGAAAAATTTTGGTAGCTTAGATATTCTATATTTCATATGGTTTTAGTCAATAGGAAAAAAGACTGGGCCAGAGGCATTATTATATGTCTAGTCATACTAGTGACACTTCGGAAGCAGGGCAGCAAGGTGCATTCTTTTCACCGCTTTCGGCATTAATGTTGTAACTTGTGTTAAAACTGAAAAAAATCCCAAAGGAAGTATCTTGGACACAGGGAGCTGACTGGCTGATTTTTAATTTTAATTGTATATTCTAAGCTGTTGTTGGCATAAGCCATTTATTGCATCTTTAAAAAACAGAGGGACATGTAAAAGTACACGAAAATAAATTGCCAGGAGATACCTACATTTATTTCCCTTCTTGCACCAACAAGCCACCTCCATAAACCATTTCCAGCCTCAAAGAAGAAACCAGTTCTTGTTGCTTTTGTTTTCTTCCCGTTACCCCTTCTGTTCTTATAAAAACACTTAAAAAGTCTTCCTACTATTTTCCCCATCAACAGTAAAACTCAATAAGCTACTGGGCAATATTATCTAAAGAGAAATATCAATTATCTGCTAGCCAAGAACCAACTCTAAATCACACAGTTACAAATCTTTACTACCGAGTAACACTAGGACTTCTATCACACCGTCATTTCACTGTAGTGTTACTTGCTTGAGAAATCAGAGGTCTGTAAGGCAGAACACGACACGTGACGGCAATTTTGAAAACTTCTGGACTCAAACACCTACACCGACACACTGCTCTTCTCTCCGGGAACAAGTATGAACAAAATCTCAAGCTAACAGGAAATCCTAAGAAAATCATCTGTCTCTCAAAGGCAATAGTGAAATACTGTTCTTTGAATTTCATTGACTGCCCACAAGTGCTTCTAAGAAATAATCCAACTAATACATGTGGTTTTTAAGCATAACTTGTTGAGGTTGCACACTTCTACAAAAAAGCAGCTGAGGAAGTGAAGGCACCAATATAGTGACATCATTTAATATGATTTTGAAGTTAGAAAGACAGATCTATAAGGTCAGGATACGCAGCCTACAACAGCCTGCCTTCAATGCATCCGAGGAAGGCGCTGTACGAGGTCTTCACCATAAGGTAATGGATTCTTGGTGGGGTAGGGGGGGATATGACAACATTCTTTAACAGTCAACTAGTTAATCTGTAGGCATGATTCTAGCCACGTTAACTGAAAACTTTTCCATCAATGCAGTCAGCATCTGTTCTAGCCTCTTTATGCAGCAACACTTGGGAGGCAGCCAGGCAGCTTCTCTGCATTGCTATACAGCAGCTCCAGACGACTTCGTGTATTTGTTTCCACCTGCTCTCCAGTCTCACTGCTATAAGCATGTCTCTAAAACCAGGGCTGTCATTTGAGCTTTTTTCAGACACAAAGGCAAACGCGCCATTTTAAATAAAAGGTAAAAATTAAAAAGGATTTCTTTTTAAGAGAAGGTAAGCGAGGCCTCACTAGCTTTAAAATCTAAGCTGAAGAAATAAAACTCAGTAATCTTGGGAAGTCTCCCACTTGTAAACCACTGCTATTAGAGAAAAGTTGCTATATGCAATAATGATCTGATTTATGATTTGTTGAACAAATTTCTGCAGTGATGAGCAAAGAACATGGGCAGAACAGTAACTAAAGCCACACTTAAAAAAAAATAGACATATTCTAAAATTTAATTACTTCTTCATCTGATCAAGTCCCGTAAGCAAACTTCTACTTCTTGTTTGGCTCCAAGATCAGTAAGTTTTTCTAGACCATCTTCTCTGCCCATGCAATTTTGCTTAAGTATCAGTTCTTGTCACAGCCCTAACAGAGATATTCCCGTGTTATACCCATTTTGGAGATAGCTGTTTATTGGTAAATATGAGGACTTCGACTTCACGGAAAGGAGGAAAAAAACCTCAACAGCTACATATCGCTGTTTAAGTCCCACAGATCACTTTGCAAACCTCTCCCAGTACCATTCCTGCATATTCACAATTAAAAAAGTGTAATTCTTTAAGTTCTGTTTGACATCAGAAGATAGAGTTTCCATTTTTAGAACACCACATCAGTCTTTTCAGATTGATGCTGTATAGATGTCACTGGCATGTCTGAAGTCACACATATGAAAGTGTTCCAGCTGCACCTCTATTAACTCAAAGGGCAGCACGTTAACTCCAAAGAAGAAGTAGTGATTCAGAGTACCTTAAACCATCAGTCAGCAATTTAAGTATCCTAGTGTCCAACTGTACCCTGTAAGTTTACACATGATGCAACATGAAATGTTTCTGAATAGGTAATAAATTTAAGTGTTTAGAGTTCTAAACCTTCCAGTATATTTTCAGAAACAGTATTACTGAACTTACGAGATTCCTAAACATTTTAAATGCTTAAAAATTAGCATACTTTCAAATGAATATTCTGAGACTTTCTGTACGCAAGTCTCTTAAAAGTGTGTACAAGGGCATCCTTTTTTGCTGGAAAATGATTTGTTATCAGAAGTTGGATCAATTTTTTAAAAGCATTAACATTACTGTATATGATTCACAGCCCAAGTATTACCTCAGACCTAATTTAAAATGCGCAACACAGACGCTACATTTCTAGCAAAAGCCATTTTTAAAGTCCACAGTCATATAATATAACCTATTGAATAAGACCTACAACACAGGCTAAGAAAAGCTGAACTGAGATCTCAATATGAAAATTTTAATACTATTTTCTCTAGGCAGTGCATCTAAAGTCACCAGTATCCTGTTGGCTTCTACTATACCAATAGCCAAAACAGTATCTTCCACTTACGAATTTAGTGTTGGGAGTGTTTAATTCCTCCCATGGTCCTGACTTTATAAACTCTACGGGTGTCTAAAAATCCATGGAGTTGTAAGGCCAGCTACACCTCACAGAATGCAGCGGTGCAACTCCTGCCTGTAGCCAAAGAATTTACTCACAGTATAAAAATGAACTCCCAAATCTTTTCCGGGCATTTGCTACACAGTCAGTGGTTCTGCATCTTTTCGGTCCTAAAAATGCAGAGAAAAAAAAAAAACAAACAAAAAACCCACAAATTACATTTCATGTGTGCTACGTATTTTCTTGAATTCTCAGCTATGCATATCAGCAAAGAGGAAGACACTTCCAGAATCACTCAACTCCTTCCTTCCAAAACACTGCTACAGAGTCCAGTAAAGGGACACTTAAAAACCATGAAACCAAGAAAGGAAGTTCTAATATATTTACAGATATAGTTTTGGAAAAACAACAGCTTCTTTGCCTCCTCAAGGGTACAAATACTTTAATCTCACGCTAGTTTCCTGTACCGTCATGTGTTTCTAGAACTTGGGACACATGCTTTATTTAAGAGGTCTCTCAAGTACAAAGTACAAGACAGAATGCAGGAGCAGCTTATCGACTGAGAATCAAGAAGCAACACTCTCAATAAAGGGTTTTGTTTGTTTTTCAAAACACATTTTTGTTGTATTTCCTCTCTGTGCTGAGTAGGAAACACCAGCAGTCAGAGGTTGGAGGAATACAGCAAGATCTTACATAATACTCCAATCGTGCAGAAAATCGAGCCAAAGCTGGGAGGAGAGAAGGAATTTTACAAAATTACAGTGGATATTTCCAAGCGTGGAACTATGAATGCAATCAGTAACACAGCAATAGCTCCTGATCGTACAAGAAACAGATCTCTTTCCCAGCTTTATGCCCAATTTTGCAGAAATAATGTCCAGGAAGAAATGAAGCAGATGATTTCAAGTTTACAGGTCCACAGTGAGCCAGGCAGTGGAATGGCAAGCCCCACGAGTAAAACGCTGAACAGAAGGGTGTGCCAAGAATAAAGCTGGTAAGTCCCTCTTATTGTAAACTGGATTGGTATCTAGAAAAATCACACAGGGCAACAAACTCAGTTCACAGTACATACCTAACACTAGGTCCTCAGCTGCAGTTCAGAGATTAACCCTAAACCTCCCCCCACGCTGGTCAAGCTGGCTCAGTGGAAACTAACTGAGAGAAGACTGGTGAATGGAATTGTTTTTAACATTTATCAGGTCTCATCAACCTAATACTATTGCCAGTACTGGTACCTTCTCCGTGTTAAAACATCAGCAAATTTTAAGATCAATTACACAAGAAATAGTTTTTTTTTAATCACTCCACTGTGACCCGTGCAATCAGCGATGGAACCACTCACTGAGACCGTGTGTCAAACCAAAACCCCTTCCATTTTAACTCCTTCCCTGATCTGTATCTACGTGCAAATCCTGGAGGTTTTGGGGAGGAAACACAATTAGTGTTATAATAGTGGTAACTAGACTCAAGTAAATCAGGATATCAGATTTGACAGCAGGTTCTACGATCTTATGGTAGGTACAGTTTTGTGTTACTGTCCTCTACTGATACAGTGACAGGATGACAGCTTGCAATGTACTTCTGCTCTCATGTGGTCTTCATCTCTATACTCATCCATGACAAAGTACCATTAAGAAAAAAAATCTGTTTTTTCTTCAGGTCACAACGGAACAAGTGACATAATGATACTAAATCATTCTGGGCATCTGGTTAGAAAATATCACTGAAAAAAAAGCAAGCCAGTTACATGTTTTACTTAACTAATTTAGGGGGGGGGGTTAATAACCAAAGAGTTCTATTTTATAAAGCATAAATAATAGTGAAATTCTTCAGACTTTCATAGGGCTTCACACCAAGCCACCCCAGACGTAACCATTTAGAACTCTAAAGGCAAAGAAAAAAAAAAAAGGGTATCACAAAAAAGGATTCCTTTTCATTATGTCACGATGCTGCTCTACAATCACAAATGTAAACACATCTAATAATGCCGAGTTACAGAAAAATGACAACAAATAACATTACATTCCAAATTTTTCTCCCCCCAAAAAACTCCTGTCAGAAAAAGACAATTCCATTTCACAGGCAGCTTTGCAAATACTATGAGAATAAGATTTTACCTTTATAATACCATCTATCACTAATCAAGGTAGTGCTTGCTACAAGCACTAACACTCTGCTATCAAATCATATTGGTGACACATTTAACTGCGAAAGGGAATTCTTTTGCCTTTCCATACTGCATGATGATGCACCATTTCTTTTAAACACCACTACAGGCCTGAAACACAGCTAAGAAATATCAGTACTGATCCCAGACACCCTGGGGTCTAATTCGTAGGAAGACCAAGTTCCCTCCTGATTTAGAAATGTGCCTCACAGTCCTCAGTGGCAAAGCTACGACCTGTCATCCCTTACTTGGTTATGCTATTAGTCATCTCAGTTTTTCCACTCTAGCCCTTATTTCCTTTCTCCCACTCGTGTTTCCTTACTCAGTTCCTGGCACCCCACTGAACCTCTATGCCTGCCTGGGGATCTCCAGGAATCCCCTAGCCAGGCCTCCCCCCAACTTTTCCCAGCCGCACCTCTCCCCCCCTCAGGCCCTGCTCCCTCGCTCTCCCCAGCCGAGCTACCGAGCCCTCTCTCCTCTCAACTCCTGCCCCCTTCCCCACAGCTCTTACCTCCCGGCCCTACGAGTGACTCCTACAGCCGGAGGAAGCCCTGCTCCGAGGCAGGCTGGGAAGCCCGAGAAGCCCTGTCCCACGCAGGTGCGGTGGGTGGGGATCGCGCCCCCGGACTCTGCCCCCCACTCCGCAGCCAGCCCCCCTAGGAGAACACCAGCAGCTGGAGCTCACTATTTGGCAGCATGTCTTCCTCCTCCGATTCCCCCCAAGCAGATGCAGAGGCTCATTATTCCGCAAGTCCCCGCAGCAGCCTTCTGCGCAGGCGCCGAGTTGACGAACAAGCAGGATATGGCTGTTCCCAGCGCTCCCCTCCCGGCCGCGCATGCGCACCGCACGAACGCCGCCGCCTCCCCAGCCCCCCCCGCTCACGACCACTGCGCACGCGCACATTCCCTCGCACAAGACACCCCCCCCCCCCAAGCCGCCCGCCCCCCCTCCCCCTTAA